CAAGACGGCGCAACATGTCACACAGCTCGTGCCACAATCGATTTATTGAAAGACACGTTGGGTGACAGCCTAATTTCACGTTTTGGACCTGTGAATTGGCCTCCAAGATCTTGTGATTTAACACCGCTAGACTATTTTTTGTGGGGCTATGTAAAGTCATTGGTCTATGCGGATAAGCCACGAACGCTTGACCATTTGGAAGACAACATTCGCCGTGTTATTGCCGATATACGGCCACAAATGTTGGAAAAAGTCATGGAAAATTGGACGTCCAGATTGGACTACATCCGAGCCAGCCGTGGCAGTCCTATGCCAGAAATCATATTTAAAATGTAATGCCACAAGATTATCTTTCGAATTAAAAAAAAAATTCATGTCAATTGAATAATACATCGTTGTTTTTATTGCAATTTAAAGTTCTATACCTCTAAAAAAACACCCTTTAGGTGTAATTCAAATTAAAGTAACGTTATATAGTATGACTGCTGTTGTTGCAGTTTGGATGACAAATAATTTATATCACGATTGTAAGATGTTACTTTTAGAAGAATGCATGCTGAATTGGAGCCATCTGCTAATTAGTTTCTAAGCATTTAATTATTTTTGCTGTAGTTCGATCATTTTTTGACAAGAAGATTTGGGATTGGTTTGAGAATGCCATTTTATAGACGATATTCTGCATATCACTATTCCAGAACATGAAACATACACCGCTTTGTCACCATTATCAATAATGCCGTATTTCTAGATTCACCAGTTCTCCAAACTCTATTACACTTACTATCTTGCACATTTTGTTCTTTTGCTGAACTAACCATATTAAATAACAGTTAAAAATCGTAAATATAACACAAACTTAAAAATACAGTTGTGACACAGAAATTGACTATGCTATGCGTAGAAAAAATTTTGCATCATAAGCAGCTGTAGTGCACGACGTAATTAAGGTAAGACAAATGAGGGTGCTCCCCGCCACCCCGCAACCGATCACTAGCGTTTGTTCGTAATACTTCATAGTGAACTTAGTCATTTTGAAATAAGATGCAAATATTATTTTGATCACTGCCGGGTGCAAAATATTTTGTCGTGTGCCACTGGTTCGCCATCCCTGCAATATACAGTGGTGGCCAAAATTTTAGACACTTTTTAAAAATTGTTATTTTTTTTAAGTTTGTATGCTTATAGAAAATTTCACGTTGCATAAAATGTAAAATATTTTACCTCATTTTAAAGAGAAATTAATACTTAATTCAAAACAAAAAAATAAAATTCAAATATTTGCAACGTAAAAAAATTATGCTGCAATTACTGTCGATATACATTAGGTATTGATGATAACAGTAAATTATCATAGCTTACTTCTTTATTACAGCTTACAGCAGTTCTTTATTCTTTATTACATCTTCACATCGATGTTTCATTGAGCTGAAAGTAGTTTTAAGCTCTTCCTTCGTTATTACATGATGTCAGGAAGCAACTATATCCTCAATTAGTTTCTTTTTTTTTCATTGGTACCTCATTCGAACAAGAGTTTTCAAACGGTATCACAAGTTTTCCATAGTATTAAAATTTATGACTTTTTCCTGGCCAGAACAACAACTCAATGACCTTAGAACGAGGCCCTGGGCTCAGTTGGCCCATGCCTTAAGAGGTCCTTGATTGGGTAGTTCAGAAAGAGATAAAGATGCTAACCCATAAGTGTAATTTTTATTTTTTTAATGGTGTTCTTTCATTAAAATAATTGTTATACAAGCGAATTCGAGATATAATCAGTCATTCAGTTTTTATTTCATTTCATTTTAATTTACTTCGCATTGTGAAGCAACACGATAGCCATTGGCAAAGGACCTCGTAAGTTTGAGTCATGGTCAAGTGATGAGGACAACACCTGAGCTGACCCCCTTTCCAAACTGCCACATCATGACAACGGGAAGACACTCTTCCAGCTTCGATAGATTTAATAGGCATGCGGCGGATCTTCAGTAGCATTAGGTTTCGAATTCATTATTCGACAACGCGAGCCACGAGCTCGCGACCATTACCACTCGGGTACTACGGCCATATTTAATTTTTAAAGTAACAAAACACGTGTACATGAAACCACATTCTTCAGTTATTCGATCTAACTCACTGTTTGTGAATAAATGAGCAGCAATTTTGAAAGCATTGATCAATACTCGAAAATGATTTCATGACTGAGCAGAAAATTTTATCAAGGCAGTTTAGGTTTGATTTGTAAAATTCATAACTCAAAGTCAGTGGCGCAACAGCCCACGAGGACCAGTGCCTACTGCGCCTATCCCTGTATACATGACCATTAGGCGCTGAGGTGCATGAGCAGATGTCTCGATTAGGTGGTCAGTCTGACCCACTAATCCCCCAATATGTAAGTCCCCAAACACTCTTGGTACTCATTTATCGACCCACCGCTGTAGGGATGATAAGCTGAGTCGACCTTGTCCAGCCCGGGAATAGAACCCGGCCACTCGACCACTGGGCCTTGTAAAATTCATATGCGCTTTTAATTTCATTTACAGTTAATAAAGACTACATTAATTTTATTGTTAGTAAGAATCAGCGAAAACCAGTGGTGCACACAGGAATTTTTAAAGGGAGTCCAGGGTCGAAAGTTCACCATTTTCTTACCATACCCCAATACGCCGACAGACATATTCTTTTGATTTCGTCGATAGTCGGGAACAAAAAAAAACATTAAAAATTAAATTATTAAACAAATAATCACCATTAATTAATAAAATTAATCATTATTAACAAATACTTAATTAAAACTTACGTACTGTATGATGCATAAAATTACAATAAATCGAAAAAAAATCTAAGAGTGATGGGGGTCGACCCGGGACCCCCCACTCTCTTTGTGTGCGCAATTGGTGCTCGTACATAAAATTGATCCAAGATGTACAAAAGTGTCGGAAGAAAACAAAAGGCTTTAGGAAATTGTTTAAATACTCTGAATAATGTACTCGATACTGTGTTTGAGGACTGAATACTGCATTAGTTTTATTTTACAGAGGCAATAGCTCCGAAGCGAAAATATAATTCTTAACCTTGTGACGAATCTATACGGCACTTTATCACTAATACTCTTGGCCGTCTTTGGGGATTATAAATTCGCGTATATTTCCAACCAGCTCTAAAAGGAGGAAACGGGATATGCAAATGAATCAGAGTATATAAGGAGAGTGTTTTAGGTTAGCGAAGAAGGCTATTGAGCCAAGAGATACACAGACAGAGCGCTAAGAAGATTCTATTGTAGTTGATTGTGTGATTAGTTTCTAGCTGATTATCAGGCAGCGATCTACATTCGGAAAGTTTGAGCCGACTGAAAGGAGTGAAGTAGTAAAAATCAGGTGGTATTTAAACTTCCTTTATCGGATAATAAGAGTAAATAAATAATAGAGTTAGTGTAAATTTAATGATTGCTAGTAATTCAAATTGCGTATATCTCTCAGTCCTCTTATTTCGCTAAACCCGTTCGATATTGAGTTTAATAGTTGATTAATTTTATATTTCGTGATTTAATTTAGTTGTAAAGTTCAATCCCATTGACGTAGACATATTGATTCATATTTGTATTTAGAAGGTTGATAATTGATTCAAGTGAATAAAAATTATTTGTTATTGTAAAAATGTCGTCTGGTAATTCTTTGCCTTAATTCAATCTTAGTGTCCAGGGTGGAACCCAGGGGGGTTCCCACAACTTTCTAATAATTCTTTTGTGAAAAATATTTATTGTAGCCGTATATACTATGTTATTTGTATATTTTTTTTAAAAGCGACAAACCTTTTGACACTAACATAAGGCGCAATGGACTTCTGAAAACAGAATCCATACTTTCGGCAACGAAAAAAAAAGATATTAAGTTTCTCATTCAGGCTGTTGTAAAAAAACAACAACGATGCGGGCGCGTAGAAGCTCTTTGCAATACAACTCATCTTATGTCGTTCTTAACGATGAGTATTCTGAAATTCCAATATCAATGGCCTTTTCTGTCTCCAATACACACACAAAAAAAGAATTATATCCTTTACAAATCCGTACTTTCTTTGTCCCGTATTCTGAAGAGAAAGAAAAATGGCATTATTTACATAGCATCAACAGTTTTCTTCTAAGAGTCATCTTCTGTGTCCTGCTCAAAATTCGAAAAATAGAACCATTGTTTGTTTTTGGTGTAATATATCTTTTACAGTTCAATAGGTTCTAATAATCTCTTGCCTTTTTCTCTTTCTTTTCTCTTTTTCTGGTTTCATTTTACCCCTCGTCTTTCATATTTTCTACAAAGAAATCTTCCTTTGTTAAAAGAATATTTCATTATTTAAAAACATAATAGAATATTATTTGAACATAATATTAAAGAAGTTAAAGATATCGCCTTTTAGTACTAAGGAACAGGATATACAGACGGAATTATTTTTTGGTATCTAAAACAACATGTCAGTATTAATACAAAATTTCTTATAAGAGATATACTTGTTTATTAAAATGTATTCATAACATTAAAAAGTATTTAGCAAATACCCAATTCATATTATTCAAGTCAAGTTAAAACTTTCTCATGTTATATATAAGGAAAGGAATACTGAGAAATATTGTGCATGTGAAAAATAAATAAATTAATTAAAAAGATTGGATTTTTTTAAACCTAAAAGTTGCATAAACGTTTTGCTTTTTTCTTTTCCTACTATTAGTTCACATTCTCCCTATATTTATTTACTTATATATATATATATATATATATATATATATATATATATTGTTCAAATTTTCAATCGTTAGTAAAATACTTTTTATTCATCCACTCAATTTCAGAGACATTTTTTTAAACTTGATGTTAAACTTGTTGTTGTTTGATTAACTCTTGATGTTAACACTGTTTTTTCAAATATTAATTCAATAATTCTATTTAATGAATGAATAATTAGTACCAAACGAAAATAGTAATCCAACACCACATATAAAAAGGAAAATCGTTCGTTGTGTCCTGTAGCAAAATGGATAACGCGTTGGACTTCTAATTCAAAGGATGTGAATTGGAATCCCACCTGGGATTGCCTAATTTCTGAGAAAGTGGTTTCTTTTTACTATACTATTTTATTGGAATAATTAAACTTAATTAATGAATAAATTGTAACAAACAAAGTAATAGTCCAACACCCTATATAGAAAGGAAAATGGAAAATTGCAATTAAAATCGCCTTCTATTTTGCCATTTAATATTGGGATTCTGTCACATGTATACACATATTTATATTAATTGTAATTTTTTAATAAAAAGTAACTAAAATAAAATATTTTATTTTTGTTGAACTAGTTGACATACATAAAAAACTTTTTTTATATTACTTTTTACATGCGTATTTCTCAATCTGCTTGTGGCTCACTGGGCATTGGTGTTTCGCGGCTCAAATGGTCTACCTGGCGCCCACAACCACTACGCTAATGTTTTTCACTTTTCAGTAACTAATTAGTTTTGCTAGGTATGTCCTGCTTTTTTTTCAATGTGTCCTTGTTTTCAAAAAGATTTGAAACTTCTGCTTTAAGGCTTTTGTTGTAATATAAATACTCCACGTGTAAAAATGTCAAAATTTATAATTCACTGAATTTAAAAGAAAAAGAACCAAGGCTCTATATCAGTGATTCCAAAAGTGGTCTATATAGCGAAAGTGGTCCCCAGGGGTCTAAGATGACCAGCAAGGAATCCACGTCAACGAAAAAATAATTTGGGATCCATGAGGTGTAAATGGGGACCTACGACAGTGGTTCTCATTAAACCAGATCGTGACTTTAATTTTAAAAGAAAATTTAATCAAGAGAAAACCAGAATTAAAACTTATGTAACAGATTTATTTGCTGAATTTAAAGTGGCTAATTTGCAGTTACAAGGCGACAGCATAGATTTGTTTTAAACAAGGACCATCATTTCAGCGTTGCTTATGTAAAGTAAGCTAATGGAGTATAATATTGGACGTTGCGAATTTTCACAGTTTCTCGATTTGTCACAGACAATTTACCAGGGAAAGGAAGTTTTAACATAAGTTAAACATTTAAATGCCGTTTATCAAGATTTTTAAACTAAATTTGAGAATACTTTGTTCATGGTAATCCCACAATAGGCAATGAATTCATTTGGTCACAATAAAAAAATACAAATGTCAGATTACCAGAGGAACTGATAGAAATAACCACTATCGAAGATATTAAAGTAAAGTTAAGAAAAGAATGCCATCAATATCGGATTTAAAAAGACGTACCTGTTATTTATCCCGAATTATGAATATCGAGAGAAAGTTTTGAATTGCTTTTCTTAATAAGCAGGACATTCAGCATGGTTGCCAATCTCCATAACAAAAAAAGAAAAAATAGACTAGATACTTCTAACCGAGGACATTTAGGGTTAAAACCTGACAAGATTGATGCCAATTGTTGAAAATTTGTTATTGCATCCCCTCTATTAAAAGCATTTGTTTGTTGCTCAGTTATTTTATGCAACACTTATTTTATGTATTAATTAATTTTTAATTTAATTAATTAACATCAATTTCTGTAGACACAATATATCACTGCAGTTGGAAATCTTTTAAAGTGAGTAACTTTGTACCAGCTGTCAAAAAGACATTTAAGTTGATAAATTTGCGAAAATTCAATATTAGGTAAGTAAAAGTAAGGGTTCTACCCAAAACTGGAAAACATGGTAAGGGAGAAAAAAGTTTGGAAACCTCTGCTCTTTATGGTAGTGAAATACGATATAAATATTTGATAATTTTTCTCTTAGAGATTAAATCAGGGGTGTCCAACACACGGCCCGTGGGCCGCATGTAGCCCGCCAGTACTTAAGTTGCGGCCCACCGACTCTTTTTAAAAGATTTTTAAATATCAGGTTTTTAAATTTTTAAAGTTTTTTCATTTTGAAATTTATTTGAGAGGAAATACATACATATATATATATATATATATATATATATATATATATATATATATATATATATATATATATATATATATACAATGTATTTGCCTGTTACCTGTTCTTGTTTTAAAATAAATCCTTTTTGATAGTAGAAATGTCCTTTAGATTAAAAATAGATTTAAATTTTATCAAACAGTTACATTTGATTTTTCTATAATAAATTACTTTTTTAATAAATTCCGAATTGCATTATGCATATCCTTTACTATGGGTGGTACAGGATTCTCTGTGTGTGTGACTTTCATTTCTCCTTCTCCTTTTCTGTATGGGAGTGCCCAAAAAGCAAGAGGCAGTCAGAGATGTTTTTAAAGTTTAAAAAAATATATTCAGGACGGTTAAGATAAAGGGCAACGTAAACTTAATCGTTTGCGAATGACAGCACTATCAAATTTCAACAATGTGTAACGAAAGATCAATTCAAAAGAAACACCGTAATTTTCAAGAAAATGGCAACACTAATATTTTAAGCATTATTTGATCACTGCATTATTATATTATATAAACATTTATTATATTATCTATGTCTGTATACATGAAAAATAATGGAAACAATAATAATAATTCATTCTATTTTAAATTTTCTCTCAATAAATGTTTTCTTGTTTTCAAATCTGATATAAAGGTACATATTTTTATGTGCGGCCCGCGAGATTATAATGTTTTTCCAAAGTGGACCACAAGGTCATTTGGGTTGGACATCCCTGGATTAAGTATTCCTAAATTTGGGTTTTACTCTTTAACTTTGAATGTAGATTTTCTTTATCATTTTTTAAAAATAAATTGGCTATCAATCTATTGTTTCCAAATAGGAACGTTTACAAAGCCAGAGAGAGTGAGTAAGTGTTTATTTTAGTTGCAATATAAAGCTATTAACGATGGGCCTCGTAATTTTGAGCCACAGTTAAGAGACAAGGACAACATATGAGCTGCTCCCCCCCCCCGTTCAAGCTACCCTTAAAATGCCAAAGGGGGGACTTTGATTCATGACAGATTTAATGGGCATCAGTCCCTCTATACAGAGGATCTTCAAAGGCACTAGGGCTAGAACTCATGACACGTCTGACCAATAGGTTACCGCTGCCACAATAAAAGCAGAATATAATAATATTATTCAGTAAGTCATGTCAAAGAGCGCATTTTATTTTTTATCCTTGATTATTTTCACGTCAAATATGCTCTAAATCTCAAAAATGTACCAAAAACATTCAATATGTCCATGTATTTAATTTCTTTCATGTGTTCTCAAAAATTAAATTTTAAAATTATTACTTGTGTTTTAAAATTAATTTTTGTATCAGGTGCCGCCAAGATTTGAAGTCTAAGCGCCATTCTGCTCAGTCAAACACTTTAAAACTATATCCTAATAGATTAGCTGTAGTTCACTCTCTACATACGCGGACGATGGACGATCCTACAGCTTAATTAATTGTCTGTGTTCTAAAAATTATACTGTATTGTTCTTTCAGAGGCGTGATCACCTGTAAATAATCCGTCCAAAAAATGTAACTTTTATGATCACCAAATGAAATTAAGAAAAGTGATCCTATTTTGCAATACTTGTCAACTGGTCGTAGTTACAAAGAATTCTTATCAAGAGGACTTGGTACCCTTTGAACAATTTTTTTTATTTATGTATTTAAAAATTATAATTTGGCCTTTTTTTGCACATTATTCACACAATTTTGAAAATTTAAATTTTTTGAAGAAAATTTGGAAAATTTTTTAAAATTCTACTCTTTTTGTAATCATTAATTTTTTTTACCTGAATTTTTTTATAATATTCTTATAAGGATGTTCTAAACTTTAGGGATCGATTTTACAATAACTGAATTCGTTTTGAAGAAAAAAAAATAAAATGTTGATATGCATGCTAAAATTCAACGAAAAAGCCAATATCGCCTACATTTTAATTTTTTTTTAAAAAAGTGTTCAGTTTACTGCAAAATAGAGTCTTAATTTTGTTACATGCTTTATATATAACCCACGGGAGAAAAATGGAAGTGATTGGTAAATAATTGTGGAAGAAGTAGCATTTTGAATGCACTAATACATCGAAAAACTCAAACTGAGAAAAGCCACTTTAAAAAGTATATAATTTTCAAAAATAATTATACTGAAACAAACTTAAAATACCACTTTAAGACATTAGTTACATATTTTTCTTTAAAGTAATTACTTTTTCGTATTTTTTCCATCCATACATTTTTATAAATGGTCAATTTTTAGTGAGTATTAATTACACAAGAAAATTCAAGGAAAATGTTTAAAAAATTTTTTTTTCTCTCATGACAAAAATTTTAGTTTTTTCTTCACATAATATTGAAATATTATATTTGTATGAAAAACATTTGAGGAATAAGAAATGAAATTATGAAATTATTAATATAAAATGCCTTAATTCAAACATTTTACAACCACACATTTCACAAAGAAAAAAATTACATTATTGTAATGCCTTGGTAATATCCTGCTTTATATATTACACCTTCCTTTTTACAGTTGTTACTTCTCTTTTTAAAATAGATTTTTTTAGCTTTTTTTTTCTGAAAAGGGGGCGTGGTCAAATTGCCTAATTTGTTAATTTACATTTTTCAAATGAAGTTTAATCCGACTTGTAATTTTCCAACATGCAAAAGTAATACATCAATTGAAAGATAATAATGAAAAGAAATCTTAAAAGACTCATCATTAAGAAAAGCACTATGTAGGGGGAAAAAATCAATGATTTAAAATGAATTGGCAGTTACTAGAAGTACTATTGTCATTGGTTACTTAATTTCCGTGACTATAATTATAATTATTTTGTGTTTTCGGAACAATAATCCTTGAAACCATTACAAATGTCACAATAAATAATTATAACGAATGAATTGCTATACAATTCCAGTTTGTTTTGTTTCTCGTTTATATCTTGAAATCTATTTTTCATTTTAAAAGTAACCTTAAATAAAGTACAGGTGAAAAATATAGAAAATATTCCACAGTTCATAATAACAATTTGTCGTTTTTCAAACAGTAAAAAAAAAGAAGAAAAAAAAGAGTGGAATCACTATCCTTACGGAAAAGTTATTCTTTTAAGGCCG